GCAACCATGATGATTTTGGGCTTAATTCTGCTCGTAAATTCTGGAAAACGTTGTGCTAAAGTTTTGTCCAGAACTTATAAGCACTCTAGCGCATAACATCACTATACTTTTTCATGAAAATAGGCATGAATTGTGGTGCCTTGGGTTCTGAAAAATTATTGCACCATATGTTAAAATTACCTTTGTCTAATAAAAAAAAAAAAAAAAATATGAAATTTGTTTTGCATAAATCAATGCATAAGACTTACCTCCAATGAATGCAAACATTTTGTTCTTCATAATTATATACACTAACTAAAAAACTACTGTTTTACCTGATTTTGTATTAATTGTGTTGAATCTATACTCTTGACAAGCCGACCTGAATTTTGAGTTAGCTCACTTTCGTTCTAGATGTTCGATATCATCAGGAGATTTAATATTATCGAAACTCTAAAATTTTGTTAGAGTTGTAGCGGTTTTGTCATATCTTTGGCCTATTAGAGAAGCCCCTGAATTGTTTGCTATAAAATCCCTAATTTTAAAATATTAGGAATAATAGCTACAGTTACTGTTACTCGGCCATCCTCCATTCCCACTTTTCAGCAGTGTTGGGCAGTATCGATACCAAAAGTACTCATAACTTCATTCTCGAAAGAATCGAGTGTACCCGATTTTTAAAGGAGTATCGATAATGAGTACTCCAAAGTACTCACAAAATAACTCGAAAGTACACAGAACTTTAAGGAACACGAAAGTACTCAGTATTAAGTGTAGAATAGATACTTCAAAGTATTGAGTTCTATTTACATTTACCGCTATTCAGAAATGATTATACTCAATTTTAAGTTTCAATAATTTTCAAGTACAATACTTGCACCCAGTACATTCAGCCTTTCAACCGACATAACTAGGGATTAATATATTAATTTAGTAATGAAGTGCTATGAAGTGCGCACACCATCTTCAAAAGAATCACAAGTCAAAATTTGGCATTTTTGAGATTATACGCTAAAAATGTACGCAGAGCTTTTATTTACTTTTTAGCAAAAGCTGGAGTAAATTTTTGCTAAAATTTGTTAAAAAACAACCTAAAGTATACTCGCCCTTGCCCATATGATTATCATGTGCTAAGAAATAGTTTTCGCATTTTCTGACAAACGTATTATTTTGAGTTGTGACTCTTTTGAAGACAGTGTGCGATGTGTATATTTAAAGAAAGTACTCAGGACTCTCAAACAAACCCGCTCCTTAAAAGTATCGATATCACATAATTCAATCCTCAAACGTATTCTATGCTTTCCAACACTACTCTTAAATCTGCATTTGCGCACCCTGAAAAACGTGAACAATTGACGTGTGAGAGGCGTTATGCAACTCGGGTGGAGCTTTGGGCTACAGAAGAAAGAGACGAAGCTTTAGTATACTTCACGGTATTCGGTTTAAGGACGTTTTAGAGCTCACTAGCGAGCGCTGTCCATGGTCTCACATAACTGAATGTTGGTTGTAAGACACGTTTCCAGTGTTCAAGCTGAAAACGGGATTGATACATACATATGTAAACACTCCTTCACCCAAATGAATGGCTGTAAATATAAATGTACCAGCGACTATGACGAAAAACGAATAGCCGCTCCCACAACAGTCGGGTCTACGTAACCGGAACGACTCAGATTCATATCTGGCCAAGGACTGTCACTCCAACTGTTACAACAACAGACACGAATAGCAATTTCGGGGCTGCAAAACCACAAAGATGCTATAGCTGACGACCTGCCTGATGACTGGATGCACAAGAAAAGTGACCCAGACAATTTTACCAATTACCGCGGCCTCTTAAACATTGCGTACAATATCTTAGCTAGCGAATTTTGACAAAGGCTAAACAGCACTATCAACGAAATATCAGTGTGGCTTCAGACCTGGTGATTCACCAAATATTCTTTGTCGATTTTAAAACTGGTTTCGACAGTACAAAAAGGAGATGTTGATACAACGCGATGTCTGAATTTGGTATCTCTGCGAATCCAAAACCGTTATGTAAAATGATCACCAGCTTCGTCAGAAGAATCTCTCCGATTCTTTCGGTAACTTTCGGTTTCAGAGACGGCGACTTCTTAGCGTGTGATTTTATTAATATGATGCTAGAAAAATTGATAAGAATGAAATAAATCGTTTAGGAACAATTACTGGTATATTCGATGAAATCGATATCATCAGTTCAGAAATAGCTTGTGGTACATATTTTTAGGTTTCGTTTTCTGCATAAACATCGGCAGTCTACACATCACTAGTGCGCCGAAAAATGTGCCACAAAAAATTAGATTTTAAGTGCTAAGGAAATGAAGAAAAACTTAAAAGCTTGTGTTGTTGCGGCAAACAGTGATGAGCTGAGTCTGGTTACCTACTTTATTAGAATACGGCTGTAAATACTGATTTCGATGCATAACTCATACGCCATGGCATGCGAGGGGGAGTTATTAAAAAAAATAATAAATATTAAAAAGAATAAAATTGTTTCAAGCAATTATTACGCAAATATACCCTGTGGCAAGAATAAAGCGATAAGAAAACGACTAGTTCAGGTAATAAGGTAATAATAAAACGATTACATCAGACGAGTTGCCTTCGGCGTACGTTTTAGAGCCGCTGGTAATAACAAATCGATATGATGGCTATATTACCGGCAATAAATTTGTCGCCGAGGATGACACGCTTTCTAATTACCGGCAAAAAAAAATTGTTTGGTGGGAAAATTACACTGAAAGTTGCACAACGCCAAAACCGGCTTGAGTATGTTCCCAAATCCGCTTTGTGTTCCCCTCCTATTATTTATACATAATTAGTATTAAACGATTTCAACACAGCGTTTGGAGCAAACTTTTCCTATTCACTTTTTATTTATATATTTGCATGAGTTCATTTATTAATTCGTTACGTGTTGCCGATTATTTACTTATGTACATATGTATAACCGAAAAAAAGTAGCTGTAGTTTAGGTCGTAGTTGTACACACTATATACATGCATAGATACCTATGTAATCTGTACATACATACATATGGGGCATATACATATGTATGTTGACATGTATTACATTATGAGCCTTTGAATACATACATTCAGATATATATGTATGTACATATGTATGTGTAACATGGCTTCGACCTGGTAGCTCATGAATCTTTAGATATGGCTAAATCAACTTAGTAAGCATTTTCATAACGTCGGACATAATCGTAATTCAAAAGCATTAAATTTCGCTCAGCCAGACAAATAAACTGCCAGTACCTTAAATATATACTCGTACATACATAAAATCAACATATCAATCAGTCAAACAATCAAAATCAGCCAATCAACCAATCAACCAATCAGCCATACATTCACCACAACCACTGCCGTTCGCCCATGGAAGCTCGTTACTCGTTACTTGTTACTCGCTGTTCCACAACTTGAAATCTTGAATTCATGATTCTGAGTTGGAATTATCTCTTTCAGAAAATGAACTCTTCATATTTCTGACTTTGATCGTGCAATGGATTTGCCAATTGCATCGAGTGCAATCGTAGAATGAGTGAAATGTGAGGCGAACGTGACTCCAACAACACGACAAGAAATTGCAATTTGAAGTATTCGAAAAACAAAAAAAAAAGAGAAATAAGCTAAAGTAAAATGCAATGAAAATGAAATAAATAGAAAGTTAAACAATAAAATCAGATAACTCACAACAACACGACCATGCCCACGACCACGACCACGACCACGATCACGATCAACAACACTTGCAATTTACAACAATGCTAACAAGAAAAAAGACAACATCACCACCATCATGCCGGGCACTCACTGTTCGGGCGAAACCGATAAAAATTACGGTATCGTTATCACTACAGCTATCGCCAACGCCACTTGAACAACGCGGCTCGACCACTCAAACTAAAGCAACGGTAACAGCTGCATCAAACAAAAATTCTCAACGTCCGAAAAAAAAAATGGAACGTGCATATGACGTGCACAAAAGCATGCCAACCACCTTTCAGGTGTCCACTCGACGTGATGGCTACTCAAACATACATATGTACATATGTAGATACTAAAGGCATTGTAAACTATCTGACGCGCTTGCCAATTGTACATACATACATATATACATATATATATATGGTCATATATAAATATTACATGGATGCATTTTTGTTCTAGCATACATACCAAATAGAATGTACAATACAATGCAAATTTACAGAAATATCTACGAATATGAATAGAGTCTGATTGTAAGAGTTAGTGTGTAAGTATGTGTAGTAAAGTTGCGAGATGTTTGTATGTATGTATTTGGAAAAGTCTATAGGTTTATCTATGTATGTATGTAGGAGTATGCATGCAACATTGTTTGTATGCATTTGAGTATGTATATATGTATGAAAAAACGTTTATGTAGATATGCACATTGTTAAACTTTAAAATCACGTATCTCTATTAATTTAGTTTATAGCTTCGAATGTCTCTTCTACATATGTATTTACACATATCGGCAGAAAATGCACAAATCTGACCCATTTTGATTTTGAAAACTTAAAAAGTCTGCACTTACACGCATACATACATACATACATATCTATTGTACATATGTTTATGTATTTGAGCATACCCACCATGTAAAACATCCCACCATGCAAAACATGAGAAATAGGTAACAATCGTCAATGGCAACAAATTGGCGACTCGCACATTTATTGCCGTAGTGAGAAATCGGCCACATTGTTTCTTTCATGCCAATTTTGGAATAATTATGTCATCAAAAATTCCAAAAACTTATGAATTTCGGGTCAATAGGTTTGTTCAAAAGCATCTAATTTATGCCAAAGATAGGATTGAAAAAATAGAAAGTCCCATAGCGACAGAACGAATTAATTCCGTTTTTAAGTTCCATTTTCTTATACAGAAAATAAATGAATTATTAAAAAAACAAAATCATTCCAAAAATCGCCTGTAGCAATAATAAGGCGATAAGAAAACGACTCATTCGATAGTAATAAATCGATACGATGGCGACATTACCGGCAATAAATTTGTTTGCCGTTCGCGACACCTTTTCTTATTGCGGGCAACAAAAATTGTCTGGTGGGTATGCTATCGCACGTACATGCATACATACATATACATACATGCACATATCTATGTCTTAATCAGCAATAAGCTTACATATCTGTTGATGTGCTTTTATTGGCAATAAACGACAAAAAAAGACGAATAAAGTTAAAAAAAATACTTACTAGAGAATAATTAGAGTTGCACAGTTTTATTGATAAAGTGTTTTTTTTTTGTTTTACTTACTTATCGAATTGTTATAAACCCTACGCATATTCATAAATATTTTGAGTAAATTAACAATAAATAAATAAAAAGGTTTCTTCAAAGTGTTGTTTTAAATTTTCACACAAGTGTTCAGGTATTGATTCTTTTTGAAATATTCACAACGTTTTTCAAGTTATTTTTCTGTTAAAACATTGTCCAAGCTTTAGATAAAACCATATACATACATAAATCAAAGTTTCAAACGTAATAAAAAATTTACAAATTTCCATCAAAATTTTTAGCTTTTGAATCTGAATCTTTACGTTTGGGTATGCCGTTTCATAGCCCGCAAAATCACGTTGACTTTGATATTTTTTTTTTGCTGCCGGATTTTTGCAGTTTTGCAGACCGTTCGCAACAAAATTAAAAAAAAAATCAACCCAGTTTTTGTAAATGACACTTGTTATATGAAAAAACCTTCGGTTACCAAGAAAAATTCTCAAAAATCAACGGAATTTTTCAGCCGGTTGAAACTTGCACTTTATGAGACTTCAATTGTATCGGCTATAAAACTGCATACCGAAAACTGTTGTAAACATTCGGATTACATGGTACGTAAATTAAAAAAAAGCTAATAAATCAAGCCAGGGAGGGCGTTCGAACTCTCACTGGGTACTTTACAGGACATTGTTCCCTGCGTAACCTTAGTAAAATGAATCTTTCACACTCGAGCGTCTGTTGTTTTTGTGAGATGGACAAAGAAATGCCAGAACACATCCTTTGTGAATCGCTAGACGCAGACTCATTCAATACTCGCTTATAATAATAATAGCAAAAAAAATATATATACTCCTGTTTTTTTTTCGAAATCAAAAAATATTTACAGGTCGCTCAAAGCTCTTCGGGCAAATTTCAGATATTTTAGGAAGAATATCAGTAACAAAAGACCATATCGTCGTTTAAAGTACAAAACCGCGTATCGTCATTCTGCAAAACCGCGTAACTGACATTGGATTTGCCCACACAAGCTCTTGGCTCAATCCTCATCCATTCGTCCGGAAATAAACTAGTCAGAAATGCGATTTCTTTATAAAAAACAGAGAACCATTAATAATAAAATTTATGCAACCTCACATACGCGGTTTGTACTTTAAACGACGATATGAAGAGAAGATACATTTGAGATTCAGAGTAGAGTGTAATCGAAATAATAATTTTTTAATGACGGATAACAACTCTGCTATTGTTTTAAGGCGCTGGCCTAATGCAGGCTTGCTTTGCACGCCTTGCTTACTTTAATTTGCTTTGATTTACTTCAAAAACTCGTTTTGCCAAATGGCGGCTTGCAACGCTGTTAAAAAGTCAAGGTCTGTTTCCTTACACTAAGAATAATTTTGCCATAAAATTCCACAAAAAAAAAAATAAAAATACAAAACAATCTTTTCAGATTTATTTTTAATGAATGTGAATTAATTTTTGCATTTCAAAGGAGTGATAATAATTATACATACATATAAACTTATATGTACATTTATTAGAAACAAAAAACTCTAAAAAAAAATCGATTTTTCAGGAGACGACTTACAGTAGTTTGACATCATAAATATCGCTAGCTTTGTGTGAAAAGTTGATAAGTCTGCATTTTATGAAGCCTCAAATTTTGACATAGAAAGTAAGACAAATGAAGGACTAAGGTACTTGTTTTATTTTTTATCGTTTATATTCAATGAAAGATAAATTTTATAAGTCCAAAAGAGGCCCCGAATATGCAATAAGGCCAAAATAATATGAAATTTTTTAACAGAGATCGAATCCATCTCATTTGTATGGAGTTTTGCTTTGCATTAAACACGCAAAATGTTGCATTCAAAGTTCCTGTAAAATTGGACTTAGCAACTTTTCACTTTAAGCCAGCGGCATGTTAAATATAAATATGGAAACATAGATTACTTTTTATTAAACTTTGAATTACTAATATTATATATACATTTTTTTAAATTATGTAAGACAATTTTTGTACATAAAAGTCTGCAGCAGTTTGTTTGAATTGATTTCGAACGGGAACATATATTTTTGTCAAAAGCCTACGAAACGCTTTCAAATAAAACATTTGCCTATTTGAAACTTTGAGGCGCTTAAAGCAAGTGAAGCAAAGCTGCCATTTGGCCACCCTTCATACGTTTTAGTATATTCCAAATAACTTTTGACAGTTTTCAAAGCTAAGCAAGCAAAGCAAGCCTGCATTGGGCCAGCGCCTTTAGATACCCAAAAAATTGTGGGTGGATCCCACTCGTAACTGAAGTGAAATTTCTTCCTCTTTTATCCGAATTACTATATTACCAGTGAACCCATATGGTGTTAAAATGCCAAAATTGAATTTAACATCTTTAACAGGTGCCTTTTTAAAAACCTAAAAAAGTATTCCAAATGTTAATCAGAGTTTTAAGCGATCCATCTCACAGTGCAGCCGAAATCCAAAAGTGTGGCCAAAATTCGAAGCTTTAAGGAAACTATTCGAATTTTCGTATTAGCGGGTTTTCGGCGTCGCTAATTCTGAATCCGCTGTCAGAATTTTAAAAATCAAATAATTATAATTATTTTTGGTTCCAATTTCGTGGTTGGGTATTTATCTGGGTAAAGTCGTGCCCATTTAGTTAAGCATTTCAGACATACACACATATCTATGTACTAAACTATGCACATTAATTTCAGAGAGCAACAATGAAATCGTGTCGTCCACCACAGATGGTACGAGCCGCCGCACTGATACATCCTCAACCACAGAACAGCAGCGTTCAAGTAGCACCAGTTCCAGTAGTGTTGTGACTCGAACCGAAAGTCAGACGTATGCACCGCGTGAAACTACCGTCCCATATAGCGCTACTACGAGCATAGTTACCCAGCAGCGCCAGACATCGACACCCACATCCGTCTACACTACGTCTACGCAGCGAACATCTACATCGACCTTGACCACAACAACTAGCCAAGCAACACCACCGCCCGAAGTTCATTCCACAGCTACCGAACACCCAACAACGCCCTACGATATAGTACAAGTATTTAGCGGCGGAAATGGTGGTGAACGGCATCATGGAGAGGACGATGATAAATCAAATATGATATTCAATGGCGAGCATATATCTATACCAGGAGAACGGCCATCGCCACATATACCGCCGCCACATGAGTCGCCGCCATACTATCAAATGCCACCACAGCAACCGCCTTCGTATGGGAATAATTATCGCTCCAAGGGTAAAGGGGGACGCGTTAACTCCATCGAGGAGGAGCGCACGGCTATGATAATCGGTATTGTAGCCGGTATACTGATAGCTGTTATACTTGTCATACTGCTGGTGCTGTGGCTCAAATCGACCGGTGATCGCAACTACAAGACGGAAGGAGAAAAGGCCGCCGCCTATGGGCATAATCCCAATGCGGCATTGCTGGGCAATAGCAGCACAAACGGTTCCTATCATCAGCAACGCCACCACGGGACACATCATCAGAATTTAACAAATGGGCATAATACAGGAGGCGGTGGAGGTGGCGGTGGCACCGGTGGTGGTGGTAGCGGTAGTGGCAGCATGCTCGGCGCTTCTGGAGTCAGCGGAGGTGGTGGCGGCGGCGCGGTCGGCTATGGCTGCATCAGCTCCGGCATGGCCAGCACTGGGGCCGATGGCCGTCCGCAAATGGCCGGGCTGGTGCAACCCAAACCGAAAAAACGTGATTCCAAGGACGTGAAAGAATGGTATGTGTAAATTGTTTTTGTTTGAGTGAAGACTGTAGGTTTGAGGTGGCGAGTTCTTGGATAAGCAGTGAACGGTTGACGAGTTCTGGTGAAGTATTTTAATATTTAATTCAAGTTAGCAATAATTAATTTATGAGATACCTACACACTTAGTCAAAGGCACACAAAAACACACACAAACATAGGTAAAGAAACAGACAAACCAATACAAACACAAACAGAGTAATCTATAAAAAAAAGATTCTAGAAATTATAAACGCACATGCATACATACGTACGTATTTATGTAGGTGCATAAATAATNAAAACACACACAAACATAGGTAAAGAAACAGACAAACCAATACAAACACAGAGAGTAATCTATAAAAAGAAAATTCTAGAAATTATAAACGCACATGCATACATACGTACGTATTTATGTAGGTGCATAAATAAGTAGGTATATAGTGTGTATGTAACAAAAAGACCACGTGATACATATACATACATATATAGTGGTGACTAGTCGTAAAAAAATGAAATATACATACGAGCATACACATGCATACATAACTGTAGTTACCTACAATAGTTTGGGCGGCATAGTTCGACTTGAAATTTTGCAACACAATACATACATACATACATACATACATGCATATGTATGTATGAATACATGCAATATAACAACTAGCAGCCAAGAGAACACAATAAATTTGAGAACCGTAAAATATCCATTAAACTTTAAAAAATATCTACTATTATTAATAATAACAAGTTTATCACTAAGCTACGTACATACATATGTAATAGTTAATACAAAACTTATATGTATGTATGTAATGTACAAAAAGCAAAACGAGAGAGATAATAATCATGAGGTGCATCAGCAGCCGTTTCAGTGTTGGGACAATAAATTGAAAAGCAAGGCAATTACGGAGTGCAAATTTGAAAATAATTGGTAAAATATGACACTTTTCAAAATATGTAGTTCAATTCAACACAAAAAATTAGCGGGCTAATCATTAATAGAGATACATATTTTGTTTTCTAGAAAAGCATCACTCTCATCTTCAAGCTGACTTTGTAAACCCTTTTCAGAAGTCTGACTTTTATTAATTAAAGAAGCAGCTTTAGTAGAACTTAAGGCCTTCTACCGTATGTCCTACGAAAGTAGAAGTTCTTAAATTTTCTTTTTTAACTTTATAGACGTTTATCGCCTTGGGCAATTCGGGCTGAAATAATTGCCAGACTTTTGTGGGACTATTGAAAGACAGTGCAGGCAAGATAGTTTGAAAGATTTTGTTTATTCTGTTAAGAAAGTTTTAAAAAAATAGCCAACTTTAATGTTGAAAAGCAATTGAGCATGTTTCCAATGAAGATGGTTTGCTCGCGCTACTCCGAGCTCCGAGGTTCAAGTCCTCGGAACCGGAATGTCCTTCTTTTTTTGAATAATTTTTTTTTCTTGTTTTAACTTAATTTTGTTTTAATTTTTAGATTTTATTGGTTTAAATAGAAAAATATATATTTTTGAAATTTCATTTAATTTTTATAGGTATTTTATACATTTTTTTCATATTTAAAAGATTTATTTTTAATTTTAATCTTTTTTTTAATTTTTATAATTGGTGTTTTTTTAAGAAAAATATTTTTTTTCAATTTAATGTAATGTTTGAGAGTTCAGTTTATTTATTTTTCCTACGTTTTAAAAAATTTTCTTTTAATTTTTAGATTTTGTTGCTTTAAAATGAAAAAATATTTTTTATTTAATTTAATTTTAGGAACTTATCTTATTTATTTTTAATTTTTTTTTTTTAAGTTTTTTGTGCATTTAATAATTTAATTTTCTTTTAATTTTTATATTTTTTTTATTTTTAATTTTATTTAATTTTTTATATTTTATTATTATAATTTTTTCTTTTTTTTTTAAATTTGGTTTCTAGTTTTTATTGTTAAAACAACTTATATGTATATAATTTTTAGAAAGCGTATTACTAAAAGGCAAACAGATTAACGTTCTCCTTCTTGAAACTAGAACTGTCGAGTCTTCGATTGAGGCCAATGTTTAACTCATGCGCTGCTGTGATCAGGGGTTTAAACTAAAAGATACTCCTATCTGAAAAACACTTGCAATATCAGGCATATGTAATTGATCTCCATAATCCCAGGTTTTCAGAGAAAACGTCTGCTCCAACTATGCGTTCCATTTGGAGGTCATCGTTATACAGAATACAAAATTTCGATCGGGAACGACCTGTGGAATTTCTTTCAGGTCCCAATTATACTGAAATGCCCGATACTTTTATCTCTCCATATCCCTAGTTCTTTGGATCTTAACGCATATTTTTAAATTATTATATTTCGCGTTCACTTTGTACTCAAGAATTTGCCGGAGTTTCTCTTACAATTTGTAGAATGCGTTTTGATGATTTCCGACAATTTGTGGACCTACAGTTGTATGACGATTACGTATGATTTTTTTATTGATACCTGATTCTAGTGAAGATCAATAAAAATATCTGATACAAAGTTCATCATTCATTCTTCTGCGGTACGCATCGCCCAAACTATTTTCAAAATCTACCGAAGTATTCGCAGCTTTCTTTATGATCATCCACGTTTCTGTCTCCTGATAATAGATTTACAGAGCGCGATTTTTCTTCATCGATAGAGGATTGTACTTTTTAATTGCCTACCGAACTTAAAGTAGCTCCTGCTGGCAGGAGTTATTTTGCCTTTCACAATTAAAAAATTATTTATGCCAGCAATGGTATGTCTCCCCATATGAGTCGTTTTGTGTTGGAAAGTCGTACATCGTCTTGCACTTGGGAGCTGCTTTTTCTGCAATCTCAACGGATCGCAGAGACTCTTAATAGCCGTGTTAGTTTATCACTGATGCCAAATTTAGACTTGGCTTCTCTTCGTGTTATCAAAATGGAACTCTAAAAGCAACGGAGATTAGGATCGATTCGATTGAACAAGCGGACATATATACATACATACATACGGGCCTATATTGGTATTTCTAATCTGACGAGACGTGACATTTGTGTGACAAAATGTTAAGAAATAAAATTTAAAATTCAAAATTTGGTAGTATAGATTTAAATATACATATAAGCAAATATATATATGCGCTGGCGTGGCGTTACAAAAGCCATACGTGGCGCTTGACTTGGGTTACAAAAGTGCAAGACCCTGCAAATCTGGCAAGATTATTTGTATACTTTTTTTGGCAATCTTTTAAATAAGTACTTAACGTAAATTTTCCACGTTTTCAAATGTAAAAATTTTTCTGTTTTTTTATCAGCCCAATTATCTGACGTGACGCTACATGATGTTATGTCACGAAAATTTCACTTGAAATTTTTTTTTTTTGATAACATTGTTTTTAAACGAATTTTGAACGCAAATAAACAATTATTTTATTTGGAATATATTTTTTATTTTGACTTCAATGCCAACTAGCGGTTCAACTTTTTTGCAAATCTATGCATGTCTTACTATGCTTCAACTACATATCGTCGGTGATACTGTAAAACGGTCTATTAGTACACTTGATACTTAGATGGTGCCTTATTTGCACCGGAATGTATCGGCAAATCATTACTTCCTAATAAACGAATGACAAAACTGTCTACCTTTGGCTGATGAAGATAAACGATTGCCAGAATCGATCAGATACAGATAACAGATCAGGGAACGTTTTGCAATATCACCGACGATATGCGAAATTTGAAACAAATCGGTGCGGTTTCTGTTTACATTTATAAAAAGCAGCCAAATTGGCTTTTATTTTTATCTCGCTGTAGACCTTCCGCTGGGAACGCCCATATGAATAAAGTGACCAGACTAATTCACAGTATTGTGAAAAATGTGTTTTCTGATTCGGCTGCTGATGTTCTAAGTGAATCCTAGTTTGACTTTATGTTACAAAAGTTACAAAAGAAAAATTCGCAAATTCGATAGGTTTTGTTGTGGCAAGAGTCTGTTTAAAATAAATTTAACTTTATATTAACAATAAAGGAAAGACAGTTAGTGGCCATATGCGGAAATGAGTATAATATATTAAATGTACATTACTATATGCTAAGATGATATTAGAATAAAGAAATATGTAAAAACTGTATAACGCCTGGATGGGGAAGAGACGCAATTAGTTTAAAATATTCTTGAACATAAGTGAGAGCACACAAAATACTGAAGACGAGCGTTGGCTACAAAGAAGAAAATTTAAGCAAAAGAAGGTAGTAGTTGCTGTAAAACGGCAAAACAATTGCGGCTTATAAATGAATATGAAACAATATTAAAATGAAATAGGCAAAAAATTAAACCAAATAGTTCCAAATTCAAGCAAATCTAAATATTTAACCAAATTTGATTCGTTGAATTCTTCATGTAAATTTATAAACGAAAAAAAAAAAATATAACAAATGTGGTGCTGTAATGTAACTAATACTTAGTCCCAAATTTATAAAACCAAATTAAATTTCTTTAATTTAACAAAAAAAAAAAAAAAAATATTACAAACTAATACTACAAAGCAAGAGACAAATAATATTAGAAAATCAATACAGCAAGTAAAATCATTACAAACTTATTATGATGATCTACAAAAATAAGAAAGAAACGAAAAACACAAAAACAATATTATAAAAATAATAATTACATATATAGGATTCCGTGGCAAAAAAAAACATAAAATAATATTACAGAATCTATGACATAATCACATAGTAAGTAACTATTTGGCTTTGACACTCAAGAAAAATATAATACTTATGTAATGCAAAAATAGGCTCAGAAAGTAAGCAAACTAAAATAAATAGACACTACGCTTGACCATTTTTTCGGTGCGATTTTACACGCCCCTCGCCGATTTACACAAGCTCACGCAGTCATGCGATAAGTTTGCAAATTCACGCATAAATATGTACACTGGTTAGCTTACTGCACTACACATGCGCATTACATGAACACTTTGCAGTGTAATACGATACTTATCCGCACACGAACGCCGCTCATTATTTGTTCTTTCATATTCATGACGCGACATACATACATATGTACATACATGTATTTATATGTATGTATGTGTGAAGGCAATTTAAGTACATATGTACATACATATTGCCAGTGTTCACTGTATCAAATATTTAACTTTTTACAATACGTATTTATTATACAACAACACCGTAAAAACTACAACAGGCTATTTGAATGCTCTA